AGGTCAGAAGATAGTGAAACAGCATCTTTAAAGTGCTGCAAGAAAAGAATGGTCAACCCAGATTCTGCACCTAGCAAAAACATCAGAAATGAAAGCAAAATAAATTCTCAGTGCAGAAAACTAGGAGAATTTATCATTAGTTGGCCTGTGCTAAAAGAATGCTAAATGAAGTTCTTCAGGCTGAAGGGATATGACCCCAGAGAAAAACTTGGAAATTTAGGTATAAAGAAAGCATAAAGGAGGGTTTAGCTCAGTGGTGGAGTGCATACCTAGAATGCACAAGGTCCTGGGTTCAAGCCCCAGTCCCTCCATTAAATAAACAGATGAATAAAACTAATCTCCCCCCCAAAAAGGTTAATTAAAAAAATAGTAAAGAAAGAAAACAAAAAGGAAGGTAAACATATGAATAAGTATAATAGATTATATTTCTCCTGTCAAGTTCTTTAAAATATGACTTGAAAGTAAAAATCATAACATTTTCTGGGTTATTTCAATGAATGTAGATGTGATAAATATAGTACGTATAACATAAAGGGGAAAAGGTAAATGAACTTTTATGGTTTTAATGCATCTATGTTTTACTTGAGTTGTAAATTATGAACATGAAACAGATTGTCAAAAGTTAAGCATGTATATTGTAATCCCTAGAGAAACCACAGACCTTAGAGAAAATTAGTATAAAGATGTACAACCAAAAAGCCAATAAGTAAATTAAAATGGAATACTAAGAATAATCAAATAATCTAAAGGAAGGCAGGAAAGGAGGAACAGAGGAAGAGAAAGAGGAGATAATAATAATAATAATAAAAAGTAGACCTAAATCTGCTCTTACCAATAAGTACATTAACAGACTCTTTATTACATAAATGTTCCAATTAAAAGATAGCAGTTGTTGGGTTGGAGTAAAAATAAATAAATCAATGCCCTCAATAGCCAGTTATATTCTGCCTACATGAAGCCCACTTTAAATATAATTATATAGGTAGATTAAAAGAAGGATAGAAAAAGACATACCATGGAACCCATAATCAAAAAAAAAGTTGGAGTGTCTATATTAGTAATGGACAAAGTAGACTTCAGAACAAGAAAAATCACCAGGAATAAAGACAGACGTTATATAACAATAAAGGGCTATTTCCCCAAGAAGACATGACAATCCCAAGGGTGTACGTGCTTATCAACCAAGTTCCTAAATATATAAAGCAAAAACTGATAGCTCTGAAAGGATAAATCAAGCCACAATTATACTTGTCAATGTCAACACTCTCCTTTCAGTAATTGATAAAACAGAAATTCAGCAAGGATGTGAAACATTATCAACCAAACTGACCTAATTGACATTTTAAAAAATTACTTATTTTTTTTCTTTCTGGGGGGAGGGGAGATAATTAGGTTTATTTATTTATTTTAATTTTCTTTTCTAATGGAGGTACTGGAGATTGAATCCAGGACCTCGTGTATGCTGGGCATGCACTTTACGACTGAGCTATTCCACCCCCACTGACATTTATAGAGACTTCGCTAACAGCATAAAACGCACTTAATTTTCAAGTGCACATGGAACATTCACCAAGAGAGATCATACTGGGCCTTTTACATTGAACAAATGTTTAAAAATTTAAATGATACAAAGTATGTTCTTTGCTCATAGTGGAATCAAACTGAAATCAAGAACTAAAAAATAACTGGAAAACCCCCCAAATATTTGGAAACTAAACAACACACTTCTAAATAACCCAGAGAAGTCTCAAGAGAAATAAGAAAATATTTTGAACTGAATTAGAATGAAAACACAACATATCAAAATTTATGAGATGCAGCTAAAATAGAACTGAGTGAATTTCATAGCATTAAATGCTTATATGAGAAAAGAGGAAAAGTCTCAAATCAATAATATAGGCTTCGACCTTCAGAAACTAGAAAAAGAAAAAGCAAATTAAGCCCACATCAAGTAGAAAGAAAGAAAGAAGAGCAGAAATCTATGACATTGGACACAGAAAAACAATGAAACCAAAAGCTGGTTCTTTGGAAAGAGCAATATGAGTGGTCTCCTTATAAAATGGGGAAATCTGGACGCAGACACTCATACAGGGAAGACAGTGGTAAGAGATAGAGGGAGAAGACAGCCAACTGTAAGCCAGGGAGAGAGACAGGAACAGATTTTCCCTCACAACCTACAGAAGGAACCAACCCTGCAGACATCTTGATTTTGGGCTTCTAGCTTTCAGAACTGGGAGGCAATACATTTCTGCTGTTTAAGCCACCCGCTCTGTGGTACTTTGTTATGACAGCCCTGGCAAACTAATGCAACTAACACTCGAATTTAGTAATGTCCTAGGATATATAGTCAATATAGAAAAATCAATTGCATTTCTATGTAATTGTAATGGACAACTGGAAATTGAAAAAATTTTAAATACCATTTATAATCAGTATTAAGTATTTATGTATATTTAAATGATAAATGTAAAAATATATTTAAATAATAAATATTTATTAAATATAGTGAAGTGTCAATCTAACAGGCAGCCTTAGTCAGTTCAGGCTGCTATAATAACATCATACACTGAGTATTTTATAAGCAACAGAAATTTATTTCTCACAGTTCTGGAGGCTGGAAGTCCAAGAGCAAGGTGGTGGCAGATTCCATATCTGGTGAAAGCTGTCTTCCTGGTTCATAGAGAGCTGTCTTCTCATTGTAACCTCACATGGCAGAAGGGGTGAGAAAGCTCTCTGGGGTCTCTTTTATAAGGGTCCCAATCCCATTCATCAGAGCTGTACCCTCATGACTTAATTACTTCCCAGGGGCCCCACCTCCAAATATCATCACATTAAGGATTAGGTTCAACACATGAATTCAGGAGGGACATAAACATTTAGTCTATTGTACAGCCTGATCCCACTTCATCCCAGTCTGGACATGCAGGGACCTGAGTGAACAGGCTTGGTGTGTAGAGCGTGCAGGCCAAGAGAGCCTGTGGGTTTCTATGTGTGTAACTTGGGACTGATTAGAGAGGGTACTTTCCACAGAGGTCAGGGAAAGCCTCTCAAAGGAGATGATATTGAACTGAAATTGAGTGGTGGGGTTTTGAATGTCAATACCTAAGACTCTTTCTTGTCCAAGTTCTGAAACAACTGAATCAAATGAGGAGTCGGGTATACTGAATCCAAATAACATTTGGTTACTGTTCCAGTTACTATCGCTGCATAACAAATCCCCTGAAAAAGTCAGTGTATAAACCAGCTGTCTGATGTTAACGGATTCTTTGGGTCAGGAATTCGGAAGGGCACAACAGAGATGTTCCATGACATCTGGGGCCTTAGCTGGGAAAACTTGATGGCTAAGAGGAGTTTGATGCCTGGGGCTGGGATCATCTGGAGGTACTCATGTCCAGAAGTTGAGGCTGGCTATAGGCTGGCTGTAGGCTGGCACCTCAGCTGGGCTGCAGCCAAACCACATACAGACCTCTCCTTCGTTCTCTCCACATGGGCTAATTTGGCTTCCTCACAGCATGGTGGCTGGGTTCTAAAAGAGATTGTCCCAAGAAAGTCCATGGTATTTTATGATATAGCTTTGGAAGTTACACAGCTTCACTTTAACCATGCTTACCACAGAGGTGATTTGAGCCCCTGAACCCCAGAATCCCATCATCTCAGCCCTTTGCCAAACTGTACTATTCTCTGGTGGTTAGAGCAGAGCACTGGGCTGGACCTCAAGGCGATGCCCACACTGCCCATAGCTCCATCCAAAGCGTGGCTGATATGTCACTGTTGTGGGCGCCCGTCAGACAATCCCTGCTCAGACCATCACATTCACTCTCAAGGCCCCCAAGCAGAGCTTGGGTGTGACTGGCATTATAGAAAAGCGGAAACCAAGGCTATGAGGGAAGCCAGGAAAGAGGGGGCTGAAGCCAGCAGAGAATGGACCTGGGACTAGAATCCTAGATATAGGCCTCCCAGAGGCTCAGCTTCACCGCCTCTGATATTAACCAGGGGGTCCTTTGCCTATTGTTTGTACACATCTGCCCAGGTCGGGGGTGGTGGTGGTGGTGAGGGCCCTGACCCCAGGCCTGGGGATTCAATACAGCAAGCTCAGACAAAATCCATCCCCACGCCCCTTCTCGGATACCTTTCCGGCCGCTCAGTGCCTTTCCCGCGCTCAGAGCCTGCAGGCTGCACGGTCCTGCCCTGCTCCGGGCGCGGCTTCGCCTCCTTTGCCTCAGTGGTAGCATGCAACGTGGGGGCTCCCGCCTGCACGCTCACTGACCACGTGGTGGGGCGGGACCTGAGCGGGCTGGAGGGGTCGGGGCCTGCGTGACAGTCGGGGCAAGGCCGGAGCCTGCGCGGGCGGGAGAGGAGTAGGGAAAGGGGACTGTGCCCGGCGGGGGCGGGGCTTGAGTGGCTGACAGGGTCGGGGCGCGGCGGAAGCGTGCTGTGGGAGCAGGATGACAGTGAGGGCAGGGCTAGGAGGGGGCAGCACCACAGATAACTGAAAGAGCAAGATGAGCCAGGGCGAGAGTGTAGCGTGTCCTGTGAAGGCAGTGCAAGGAACACAGGGCAAGGGACCCGCCCGGGGCTGAGCGACTGAGGAGGAGCTTCAGGGTAGGGGCGAGGCCGGCGGGCGGCTGAGCAAGGAGAGCTGGGCGTGGCCAGGGATAACTGACAGGACTGGGCTAGGACTGGAGACGGCGGAACGCAGACTACTAGGTAGAGCCCAGCCGAACGGGGGCACAGTGACTGCCCAAGGGTCGGGGAAGGACGGCTGGCAGCTCGAGGACTGGGAAGGAGGGAGGAGACGCGAGACGTGGGCCACGAAGTATGAGTGACAAGGCAGGTGGCGGGACCTAGAATAAGGGCCGCTTCTGGGTGGGGCTAAGGGGCCATGAGTGACAGCCAAAGGGGTTGGCCTCAAACGTCCTTCCTGGCGCTCTGTAAGGAATTCCTCTTCCGGCCGAACACCGTGGGCTTTGGGCATTTCGTGCCCCAGGATGTGGTGGTGCAGAGTTATCGGGCCCGCTGGAAGGAGATTTCTATCTTCCAGTCCACCGGTCCCATCCCGTCCCATTGAAATCCAGCCGAGGGAGTCCACCTGACCCTGATCGCGCTACGGGGTGGTTCCTAGGGCCAGGAAACCCGCCATTAGCGACCGTCCCCGTGGCAGCCATGGTTCGGCGTCAGTTCTGACCCGGCCCGCCTGTCCACGGTTGCAGAAGTGCTTTTTGGACTGGCCTCTGCTGGATCTGCGGGTCTTCGCGAGACGTCCTCCGAAGCGCTGCCGCCCCGGCACCTTCACTCTGGCTCTGCCCGTCGCTATACAGGCCTCAGTGTTCCGGAATCACGGCATCTCCGGAGTCCGCAGGTTAGCATGCTTTCCAGCTGGTGAGAGGAGCAGGCTTAGCCCCTCTGTCCTGACCATGCCCACTCTGTTCACCGGCCCCTCCCTCCGACCAACTGGCCGCACCCCCTTAGTGCCTCCGTTTCCCTACTCTTCTCTGGGCCCCTCTTTACACGCAGTCCCCGCACCTAAGGATAAGCTCCGCCTACTTCTACCTTTCCCTGATCCTCAGTTCTGTGCTCCGACAACCCTCATCTCTGGCCCCGCCCCTCCTGTCCCGGGTCTCCTAAAGTTCAAACTGCTCCAGGCTCCCCATGGGCCGTGACGCTTTGTCCAACACCTCTTACTACTTTCGCCTTTGGGTCTTCCATGAGGTCAGGGTCTTCCTGAGTGTCTTCTCTGGCCTGAGGGCTAGGAGTGGGTCCTGCATGAAACCTGAATTGGGCCGGGGCGGAGGGGTAGTCAAACCAGCAGGATGCTGAGATCATGGCTCAGGTCTTTGTGTCTGGGCAGAATCTCGGGGGCTCCCTGGATCTGATCAAGTGCGTGAGAGGTGCCCCTTTCTATATGGGTTTCCACTGCGGGGTCTGAGCCGCAGGGAGGCTGGAAAGGGACAGATCCCTCTCACCTCCCAACCCTGCTGTTTCTTCAATCTCAGCCTGCATTGACATGTAGGGCCCACTGCAATGAGTGGTGTGTAATACCCCATCCGGAACCCCCCTAGTGCCCACCAAGTTTCCCGGGGAAGACTCCTACTCCTTAGACCTGGGGAGGCCTAAGTGACCTGCCTTATAGGACAGTCTGACGATTCCCAAGCTCCAGACCTTGAGAGGCTGCCTGGCATCACCCCCCAGGCAGTGGTGCTGCCCTATATCAAGCTTGAGCCACCAGGGAAGCTGTCACCATCAGCCCTGGGGGCTGGCTTCCCCAACAGCTGTTGCTTGTCACAGTATCACCCCACATCTGGGGCCTGGAGTTCCCACGGAGGTGGGGGTGGGAGAGGGCAGAGAACAGAAGGCTCGAGTTCTCCAGATGTCTTCCCTTGGGAGGCCCTGTGAGACATGGGGAAACTGAGGTCCAGACATAGTGTCACTGCAGAGCAGCCAGCACTTATCCGCCCCTGGAAAGGTTTAGACTCAAGGTGTGCCCTCCCCAGGTGGCATGAAGGAGGCTCTCCCTCATCCTTAGGGCTACTCTTCAGGACACCCTGGATAGCATCCAGAGGTAAGGTGGTTCTCTTGGGGTTCTCTCAAATCTGGAATTCTCTGGATCATAGGGAAGGGGGAGGAGCAGCCCCAGAAGTAAGCATGGCTAGTTCTGGGAGCTGGGGCCCTCTTGGACACCAGGAGACTCCCATGCTGCCTTTTCACCTCCCAGAATGAAGGTGACATGCATCCTGCCCACTCCAGGGTCTCTCTAGCACCAATTCCTGAGTCCCTGCCCCGCTAGGCTCATCTGCCCCCAGGGAACTAAGCCCTTCTTCCAGACACTTGCTAGACTGGGTCTCTCTGGCTTCACTGGGCTACCGGAACCCTGATAGATGGGTGGGTGCTCAGCACAGATCATGGGCCAAGTGCTTGGAGAAAGCTCTGGCCCCTGGCCACAGAGGGCACCCACAGCCTTCGTCCATCAGTCCACCAGCAGTATTCTAACAATCCCAAGCCACATCTACTGAACTCATGTTCTGCTCCATTAAACTACGTCACTCCCCTGCTTACCTTTGGTGGCTTCCCATCTTTAAAATAAAATCCAAGATTCACAGTGTAGCCTGTGAGGCCCTGATTGGTGCTCCAGCCCCTTTCCAGTGCTCTCTTTTGCCCCTTACACTCTGGCCAAGATGGCCTCTCTCTGTTTGTTGAACACACCCATGTTTTTCTGCCTCTGGGCCTTTGCACAGGCTTTTCTCTGCTTGGAACAGGATTGCAAGTCCTATAATGACAGAGACTGTGTTTTGTTTTGTTTGTCACTACAGCCCCAAGCATTTAACCTGTTAAACAATAGATACAGAGTAAATACCAGCTGTAATAGGTCTTAATAAATAATTCTTGAATAAACGTGCCTGATGCTTTTCTGTTGACTTACTTAATCTTTACAACAGCCATGCAAGGTAAGAACTATCATTAGCTCCCTTTTACAGAAAAGAAAACAGAAACTCAGGGAGGTTTGGCCATTTGCTGAATGTCACACAGTTAAAATTTGAACCCCAGAGGGAGGCTTTTTTCACCTCTCCTTGGGTATGGGGGCATGAGCGCCAGGTGGTACAAGCCAGTTCCCAGATTCTAGATGCTTGTAGACTTACTGGAGCAAGGGGATTTGGGTCTGGGCTGGAAAGTTGGAGAGACTTGGGTCCTCATAGGCCCTAAGAGAGCATTCTGGGTGGAATAAACAGCAGTGAGCAAAGCTGTGGAGGTGGGAAGATTCACCTCCTGGGACTACTGAACTCAGCAGACTGGGCCAGCCCTGGACACACAACACATCCAGCTGGTCCCAGGGTGCTGTCAGCTGGAGGTCTCCGGAGGCAAGACCCCTGTGGGCAGGGAAATTGAGGCGGGGAGTCACTGTGCACTCCCTCTCCCCAGGCTGTGGCTGGGAGCCCCTGGGGACGCGGGCTGGGCGCTCCCAGGCCCCTCAGAGGCGGGAGGTTCCCACGCAGGGGCGGCCCTGGAAAGGGTTGTGGGGCGGGCCCCGGAGACGGACGCCAGCGCTCCAGTCCCTCTGCAGCCGGTTCTCCGTTACTTGGACCAGCTCGGGTCGCTCTCTCCTTCCTGCCTAGCCGGGAGGTGAGTGGGTGGGAGAGCCGGGGCACCCCAGCCCCGCCGGTGGGGGATGTGGTGGGAGACGCGGCTGGGACTCTGGCTTTCACCACCCGGTGAGGGCCCGTGGGGGTCGCTGCTATAGAAGAGGGTCGGGGGGTGGGGTGGAGTGGGGGGCTACAGGCAGCTCAGAGTTGAGGACTCCTGGGGAAGTCTCCTCTGTCCCCATATGGGGCGCGGTCTCTCCTCAAATGTAGATTACTCCCCTCTCCCCATACGTGGAGCTCTTCCACCGACTTATCACCGATGGGGAGCACTTCCTTGCCAGATGTGGAGCCCCTTCCCACTTACCACATGTGGTAACTCCTCCCTCTCTCTAATTATTGGGTGCCGCTCGCTATCCCTAGATATGGGGGCCCTTTCTCTTTCCAGAAGTGGAATACCCCTTTCTTCTTTCCAGATGTGTGCCCTCTTCCCCTCTCTGACCCAGTTTGGTCCTTGTCCTCCTCTAAATCCCCTCCTCACCCCCCTGAGATGCCAGCCCCTGAGATTTTTCTGAGGATGGTTGGGGTTGGGGTTGGGGTTGTGCTGGCCCATCACCTTCCCCCACCAGGTCCCACAGAACAGGCTCTCCAGGCACGTAGGCAGCTAATTATGGGGGAAAGGGTGGGGGCCAAACCATCTGCAGGGAACCTTGGCAGATGGCCCTGTAGCAAAGAGAGTCCTGTTCCCTCCCTACCTGGACCCCCACCCTGTTTCCTCTGGAGATAAACAGCTGAGGGAGGTCTCCCAACACAGCCACCCTGAGCTGGGGCTGGGACCAGAACCCAGGCCCCCAGCCCCAAACTGTTCAGACCCTGCCTTAAGAGTTAGGCCTCCTCCCACTTCTCAGATGGTAAATTGAGGTCCCAGGAGGCGGCTCCAAATGTCTAGGACCCCCATCAACCCCCACAGGTATATCATACAAAATTAGAAAGGTCAGGGACAGGAAGTGACCTTGAAATTCTGGGACCTGCCCCCACCACACCTGTGAAAAAGGTGTTTGAGTCCTGAGCGGACAGGCAGGGGCCAATGTGGGAGCAGGACTCATCCACACACGCGCCCCAGATGTCCTTCAGAGCAGCCTGGAGCTTGGTGCTGAGAAAAGGAGGACTTGGAATTCGAGGGATCCACAGCCCAGGAAGCACTGGTAAGACGTGGACACACTCTTCTCTAACCTAATTCCAAGGCCAGGGCCAGGGGTCCTGTCTGCAGGCTGGCCTGGTCCCTTCCAAGCTGCCCTGGGCCTGCCTGGAACCATCTCCCACAATCCCACTCCTTGGTCTGGGGCCACGTTCCTCCAACAAATGGAGCCTGGGGGTGCCCAGACAGCAGCCCCCTCTGTCCAAGTTTCCTCAGGGCCTGACCCCCAAACTTCAGGCCCCTCAGGCCTTTGGGTCCTGAAGTGGAGGGTGCTGACAGAACCTTGGCCCTCCTTTCCAGACCCTTGTGTCCGTAGTCAGAAGAAAGAGGCCCAAAGCAGGGGAGACTTCAGTCAGATAGCAGAAGGGCCTTCCTAACCCTGGGGAGAATAATAACAGATAACATTTATTGAACCCTTACTGTGTACCCTGAGCTGTGCTAAACATTTTACGTAGATTGACACATTTAGACTTCACAGCAGCCACATGAGGTGAATGCTGTGCTGTTATCTCCATTTCTCAGATGAACAAACTGAGGCCTGGGGACCTAGATATTAAAAGAGCCAGGACTCCTTGCCCAAAGCCATTCCCATGCTATCTGGGCAAGGTGGTGCCAATGCCTTCCCTGTGGGCATCTCTGATGACAGTAAACAGGAGAAGCTTTACTGAGACCCTTCTAGCACCCAGCCCTGTTCTGGGTACTCACACAGAGCCCTTGAGGGCTTAGCCATAAAGGAAGGCTTCCCAGAACGGAACCCAGAAGTAAAACCAAGCTCCTTCTACCAGTGTAATTTACGGAGCATCCACTGTGTGCCAGGCACTGTGTTAAGCCTTTTGAGTGTGTTTATCTTGAAGCTTCCACAACAGTGTGAGGTAGGACCTCTTATTACCCTGACTTCTCAGATGAGGGCACTGAACACAGTGAGGTGAATGGGCTCATCCCGAAGTCATGCCCTTGACCACTCATTCAAAGCATGTAGATAGCGCTTAACAGTTTGCAGAGCAGTTTCCCATCAGTCTTCTCAGGCCTAACATGCCCTCCTCACCTCAGATCTTCCAAGGGACACAGGATTTGAAGACAGAGGGGCTGAATTGCAGCCCTTGCCCGACTCTCTGTTGCTCTGTGAATTTCAACAAGTCCCTTAGCTACCCTGTCCGTAAGATGGAAATAATATCACTGTCTCAGAGTGATGCCCAGTCAATGAGTCAACCCCCCACAAGGCCTTAGAATGGCTTCTGGCACACAGTAAGTGCTTAATATGTGCCACCTCTTTGTTGATATTATGATTAGCGCTGGCACATCCCAGGCTCAGACTGAATTCAGCTCCTCCCTTGCACCCTGCAGCCCACGGCAAGGAGAAGATGTCTCCTTACACCAACTACCACGCCCAGCGCTCCTACCCCATGCCAGACGAGCCCTTCTGTGCAGAGCTCAACGCCGAGCAGCAGGCCCTGAAGGAGAAGGAGAAGGGCAGCTGGACCCAGCTGAGCCAAGCCGAGAAGGTGGCCTGTAGGTCTCAGGGTCGGGCTGGGGTTGACTTTGCAAAGAGGGGCCTGGCCTGTCAGGGAGCAGCAGGCAGGGAGAGCCCCCGGCCTGGACAGCCAGAAACTCCCAAATACCTGAATGCATGCATGAGAAGGAAAATTGATTCCTTTGTTCATTTATTTTTTTTTAAATTCACTCAGTGGCTTGTACACAGCCTGATGCTAGGCAGTTCTGGGAACACAGAAGTGAACCACTCGGATGGTTCCTGCCCTTGGGGAGCTCTCAGTCCATTGGGGGAACCACGTAAACCGAGATGACTTTAATACAGGATATGTGGCTAGGGTGAGGTGTGTTCAAGGGGCTGTGAGGACCCAAAGGAGAGAGAGCGATGGAATCCTGGTGAGCTTTCCAGAGGAGGGTTGCTCCAGCTGGCCTTGAATAGTGAGGGGAAGTGTGCTGCCAGGTAATGGGAACAGCATGGGAAAGGATATGGGAGCCAGAGAGCATGGAGAGTCCTGAGCATCACTGAGCAGTGTGGGGGTTTGGAGAGAGGCAGCTGAGGTGGGTGGGAGAGCAGGGGCCTGACCCTGGGAAGCAGGAAGGATGTGTGACTCCAAGCACTGCCCACCAGAGATGCCCCTTGGAGCCTGGTCACCAGCTCCTGGCCCAGCTTTGTACACGGTAGATGCTTAATAAGAATTTGCTGAATGGACAGCATCTGCTGCAGGGAGGGGGAGGCTGGAGATCCCTGAGGCCAAGAGTCAGCTGGATGCTTGGAATGGATGTACCTGAGGTCCCTTCTCCCCCCAACTCCCTGCCTGCCCTCAGTGTACCAGCTTCAGTTCCACCAGTCCTTCGCGGAGATGAACCGTCGCTCCAACGAATGGAAGACAATCATGGGCTGTGTCTTCTTCTTCTTTGGATTCACAGGTCTGATGATCTGGTGGCAGCGGGTCTTCGGTGAGTGGCAGGGCCTTACCTGGCTGCAGCCCTTGGCCAAGCCCTGTGGCCACGGCCTCCAGCTTTTATAGGGGAATTATGCTGACACTCATCTGAAGAGTTATGAAAAATCCCCCAAAGAGGTGTAGGGTGAAGGGCAGAGCATGGCTGCCTGGATTGGAACGTAGCGCTTCTGCCTCTCTGGACCTCAATTCCCTCATCTATAAAATGGGAATACTCGTGCCCACATCTCAGGGTTTTTATGAGGATTTAATGAGAGAGAGCTGTAGACTAGTGCCTGGCACATAGTCATGAATGGTGGTGTTACTGATTGCTGTTATTAACCATTAATTTTTCAGTATATTTTTTCAGCTGCTGTAGCAGAGTCTCCAAAAGACTTAAGAGCTTAAACAAGATAGAGATTTTGTTCTCTCTCACACAAAAGGCTAGGGGGAGTATGGGGATTCCACAGTATCAGGCTCCTTCTGTCTTATTGCTCTGTCATCCTTAACATGCAGCTTCCTTCTTGACATACAAAACGGCTTCTCCAGCTCCAGCCATAAAGCCTACATTCCAGCCAAGAAAGGGAAAGGGAGGACACACTCCTCTTTAAAGTCCAGAAGTGGCACCACGCACATCCTATTGGGTAGAAGTGGTCATATGACTCTGTCTAGCCACAAGGGAAGCTGGGAAATGTTGTCTTTAGCTGGGTGATCATGTACCCAGCTGACCATTGATTACTACAGAAGAGTGACTCTCAGAGCATTCTCCCTGGGCCAACAGTTTCATTTGCATCTCAGCCCCACTCTGGATCTCCTAAATCAGACACTCTGAGGCTGGAGCCTAGCAATCTGTGCTGTAACAGCCCTCCAGGTGATTCTGACGCCCAGCTGGGTTTGAGAAGCACTGCTCTGGAAGTAGGGGGAGAGGATGTCAGGGATGAGCTGGCAGTCTCTGCCTCAACTGGCTTCACCTCCAGGGGCCTCACCTTGTTTCCTCTTCTGTAAACGTGAGGGAATTCCTACCTTGCGTGAGGATGAAATGAGAGAGCCTTAGGGAAAACATTCTATTCTAGCCCAATATTTGGCACTAATAAGTGTCCATAAAGATCTTTCCCTTTTTTCACACCCACTGGGATGGAAAGTACCAGGGACGAAGTTCAGGATGGCTGAGTCAGCCTCAGGTGCAAATGGTCCAGGAAGAAGGATATGAGCATTGCTGGGAGTTCAGGCCCCCAGACCTTCTTTCATCCACACCTATAGGCACCTAAAATGCCTCCACGAGTTCAGCCTTTAGTTTAAGTATTTCCCTCCCTAGATTTTTAAAGTGAATACTCCTATCCCACCTCCTACTTCCAACCCTCTCAGGAAGCATAAGGAATTGTCTTATCCCAGACCCTTCCCAAATGAGTGGGAGGAATCTCAGTGTGTATGATTATAGTAGCTATCGTGTATTAGGGGCTTCAGATCTGTCTCACATTGTGCCAAGTGCTTTATAAATACTAACTCACTCAGTCCCTGCAACCCTAGTGGATAGGACCCGTTCTTGACAAGTAGGAAACCGGGGCTCAGAGAGATGAAGTGACTTGTTCAAAGTCAACATAGCAAGGGAGTGGTAGAGCTGGGGTCTGGATCCAGATGGACTTCAAACCAGAGTTCCTCTTACCATTGGGCAGTGTAGGTGAGGAAACTGAGGCTCAGAAAGGGGAGGGACCTTGGCCCAGTTCCTGCAGCAAGTCTAAGGCAGAGGTGGGATGAGAACTCAGCAGTCCCTGGAGTGCAGCTTTAGGGGGGAGTCTGGTGGGGGATGGACAGGGTGGAGAGGGGTCTTTGGTGCAGGCACCCTAACCTTGTGCTTGGAGACCCTCGCTCAGCACAAGGAGGTGGGCCTGGCAGGGTCCTGAGTGCAGCCATCCCTACCCCGGAGCCTTCCCCACCCACAGTGTTCCCTAAGAAGCCCATCACCCTGACGGACGAGTGGAAGGCCCAGCAGCTCCAGCGCATCCTGGACATGAAGGGCAACCCTGTGCAAGGCCTGGCCTCCCGGTGGGACTATGAGAGGAAAGAGTGGAAGAAGTGACCTGCTGTTCTCCCTGCGGCTACACCCCAGCCCCCTCCCCTGCCCTCCCCTTAATCCCAATAAAGCTGGCCTGCTCTCATCTGCCTTTAGTCTCCACTACAGTCTTCACCTGCCATGAAACCTACAATCTATACCTAAGATTAGGCAGGACAGTAGGTGAGGGGCAATAAGCCACTTTCCAGGGGTTCAGGGCCCCACTTATCAGGGAGGGCTTCCTGGAGGAGGAGGGGTTGAGTCCTAAAGGATAGGTGGGATTAGAAAAGACAGGAAGGAGAGGGAAGGCATTCCGGGTGGAAGGAATGGCTTGAGCAAAGGCAAGGGCACCCCTTTATTCAGTCAGTTAACAAATACTTACTGAGTCTCTGCTATGAGTCAGGTACTAGTCCAGGCCCTGGAGACAAGGCAGTGAAGAACACAGACGAAGTCTCTGGCCTCAGGGAGGAGGCATTTCTTCATGCAGGTGCGGGGAGTACGGAAAATTGAATAAGTAAGGATAATATACAGTACGTCGTGACATGGTAATATGTGCTATGAAGGAACAGAACAGAGTAGGATAAAGGGACAGAGTTACAGGGGGACTCGGGGGTGGTGGGTGAAGCCTCCTAGAAGAGGTGACATATGAGAAGAGGTCTGGATGGGATGAGGAAACAAGCCTTGTAGCAAAGACAAAACAGCGAGTGCAAAGACCCTGAGATGGGGTTGTGGTATGTCTGTTGGTGAAACTTCAAGGCAGCCACAGTGGGTGGAGTAGAATGACTTGGAGAGTAGTAGGAAGGTGTGTGTTGGGGGAGAAAGCAGATTATACAGGGACCCCTACTCCACCCCCAACCAGCAAGAGAAGACTCCTTTCTTCTTGGTATGCCCCCTCCAGCACCCTGTACTGTAAAGGAGGCAATGCTCAGAGTCCAGCTCACTATTTTAGAGGCGGCACTGAGGGATGAATTTAGGCGTCTCTGTGTGGGCTTGTCTGGGCTCCCGCAAAGCACAGTGGCTAGGTTCCAAGAGCGACAGTTCCAAGAGAGCAAGAGGGAAGCGTATTGTATTTTTATGATCTCGCCTCAGAAGACACATAGTATCACTTCTGCTGAACCTTGTTCATTAAGGCCACCCAGGTTCAAAAGGGAGAGGACATGGGCCTCCCCCATTTGATGGGAGGACATTAAGGTCAATGTAAGATGTGAGATGGGAAATATGTTGTGGTCATCTTTGGAAAAGACAGTCTGCCACCCAAAGTCAAGCCCACCATCAACGAGGAGAGAAATGTCCTTCAGCACAGCGCACGGGGAGAGCGTGGAGAGGGAAGGCAGAATTGTGAGCAAATGATACAACCTGCCGCAGACGTGTAGAAATAACCAACACAAAATCAAACTGACAGAAACTAAAACTGACTGCGTTAAATTGGATATGGACTAAAATTCAAACAGAGAAGAAAATTTTGACATTTAGATAGTCAAATGTGACCAGACAAAATTGGACCAATTGGAAATAATGGACACAGCAGACAACACACAATGGCAGGAAATGGGTGAAATCAGATGTAGACTAAAAATGACTGAGAGAAGAATTAAATCTTCATGGTGGCATTTACTCCATGAAACCAAGTGATTATCATGAAAAAATAATTTTTTAAGATTAAATTTAAAATGGGAAACATTAGCAAGAATTTAACTTTGGTGATAAAATAACTGATTAAGGAATTGAATTGGTTTTATGTAACTTGCTCACGAAAATTCTTTCTTGATGTATTGGATTAGTGTAATTCTGTTAAAAATAGTTGAACCCAAAACTCACAGTTGAAATAGTCTTGGGGTAAACACATTTATGAGGTCAAACCATTTGGGTCAAAATATCTTATAATATTAAAATTTTCAGTGAAAGGTGAGAAAGAAACTCAAAAGACAAGTGAGGAAATAAAAATTATGTATCTGTATGAAAGATAAACGGCTGATTTCCTTAATATGTTTAAAAAAAATCTGCCAAATCAGTAAGAAAAAAACAAGAATGCAGTAGAAAGTAAGCAAAAAATATGACCAGGGAGATTACAGGAAAAGATAAGAAATGGCTTAAACAGTTCTTATGGAAAAGTTCAGATACACAGTCTAACAAACCTGCATTTGCCTTCTGGGTGTCTGCAATTATCTGCTTATGGACAGAATTTCTCCACCATTGCCCCTGAATTATTTTAATGAATCCAGGCATCATATCATTTCATTTGTAAATATTTCAGTATGTCAATAAGCACCATTTTAATATATATAGCCAAAATGCTATTATTAGACAAAAAGTCTTAGTTCCTTAATATCAAATATTCAGTCAGTATGCAAATTTCCCTGGTTGCCTCAAAAATTTTTATTTATTTGAATTTTCTTGGAATTGAGGACCTACCTTAAATCTAGATTGCAGTTGGTCATCTGAATCTTTATCTGGTTTTGGCATCATGGTAGGTCCCTTCCCTCTGTTCTCTGGAAAATATTGTCCAGAAATAGTGTTAATTCTACTTCAACCATTTGGTACAGTTCTTCAGTGAAATCATCTGGGTCTGGAGATTTTTTTTGAGGGGCAGCTTTTACAATGTAAATTCAATTTCTTTCACTTTTAGAAGACTATTAAAATTATCTATTTCATATTGAGTGAATTGTGGTAGCTTGTACTTTTCAAGAAATTGATCCATTCAAATCTACATTGCATTTACTGCTATAAATTTCCCCGTGAGAACTGCATTTACTGCATTTTATTTGTCACTAAGTATTTTCTGATTTCCTTTGTGACTTCTTTGACTAACTGGTTATTTAACACTGTGTTGTTAAACTTCCACATGTTTGTAAATTTTCCAGTTTCCCTTCTGTTATTTGTTTTTAGCTTTATGCCACTGCGGTCAGAGAAGATACATTATATGATTTCAATCTTTAAATTTAGAGACTTGTTTTATGATCTAACATATAGTCTATCCTGGAGAAAATTTCATATGCACTAAAGAATGTGTATTCTGGTGTTGGTGGTGGAATGTTCTACAGGTGTCTCTTTAGGCCTAATCGGTTTTTAGTTTGCTTAAGTCCTCTATTTCTTCTCATTTTCTTTGGTGTATATTTTTAAGATTTTTTAAATGGTTACCATGGGGATTACAATTATATACCATGGGGATTATAATTATAACCATTTAGTTTGAATTGTTACTAGTTTTGCTTCAATAACATCTGAAATCTCCTATATAGCTCTGTGCCTCCCCTTTTATATTATTTTTGTTAAAAATTATGTGTTTATACCTTGTGTGCCCAATAACATAGGTTTCTAATTTTTTTATGCATTTGTATTTTAATCATGTAGGGAATAGAGTTAAAAACCAACAAGACAATAATACTCCTTTTATATTACTTATGTAGTTGCCTTTATCAGAGTCCTTTATTCATATGTCTTCAAATTTCATTGATTTCTGCTCTTATCCTTATTATTTCCTTCCTTCCACCTGCTTTGAATTTACTTTTCTCTTTTTCTAGGATGTGAAGTGGGAGTCTAAGTTATTGAGCTTTTTTCTCTTATGTGATGTATGCGTAAATTTTCCATTTGGCACTGTTTTAACTGTGTCCCACAGATTTTCGTATTTTGTATTTTCATTTCATTTAGTTCAATGTGTCTTTTTTTATTTCCCTTGAGACTTCCTCTTTGACCCATGAATTACTTAGAGTTATGTTGTTCAGTTTCCCAGTGTTTGGACATTTTCATTTATCTTTCTGTTACTGATTTCTAATTTGATTCCACTGGTGGTCAAAGGACACACTTTGTATGACTTCAGCCCTTTTAAATTTGTTAGGGTTTGTTGTATGGTCTATCTTGATATATATTTAAAAGGCTCTTGCAAAAAATGTGTTGAGTGTTCTGTAAATGTCAATTGTTTGTTGATGGTGTTGTTGAGTTCTTCATATTGTGGGTCATTTTCTATCTAGTTGTTCTGTCACTTGTTGTGAGAAGGGTACTAATTGTGGATTTATCTATTTCTCTTTTTAGTTCCATCAATTCTGCTGCTTTCCTTTGATTATTGATTGTATGGTATACATATATTTTAACATTTTTTTAGGTGGGAGGTAATTAGGTTTATTTATTTATTAGTTAGTTTGTTTGTTTACTAGAGGTACTGAGGATTGAACCCACGACCTCATGCATGCTAAGCACGTGTTCTACCACTGGGCTATACCCTCTACCCCCATTGGTATATTTTTTTTTATTCTTTTTCTTTCAACCTGCCTATATATTTTAAGTGACTTTCTTATAGACAGCATATAGATGGTTTTGTGAATTTACTCTCCTAATATCTTTTAATTTAGACCATTACACTTAATATATTTATTGACATGTTAAGACACACCACCTATTTTTTTTTTCCTGTGGGTTCTCTATGTTACTCATTTCCTTGTTTTCTTTTTTCTGCCTTCCTGCGGTTATTTGAGTGTTTTTTAAAAATTCCATTTTAATTTATCCATAGTGTTTTTGAGTATGTCTGTATAGCTTTTCTAGTGGTTGCTGTGGGTATTACATATACATAACTTATCACAGCCTACTGGTACCATCATTTTCCCAATTTAAGTGAAGTGTGGAAACCTTACTTTCTTTTATGTCTCTTTACCTGCTTTGGTTATTGCCAGATGGGGGTGGAATTCCAGGTTCCCAGCGTGGTCTCCATTGGCATTGTGGGGAGAAGGGGCTGCAGGAGAGGGCTCATTAACTGGCAGCAGAGAGGAAAGCCCTGGCTTCCTTGGCCTTATCTCACAACAGCCCACAATAGTAGGGGTGTTGGGGCACCCCGAATTAGGGTGGAGTCTAGGCTCCCCACTCAGCCTTTGCTGCTGTAGCTGGCCACAGTTTTCATAGTTTTTTTCAGTGGCATTTGGCTGGAGAAGAGCTGCTATTGTCTAAAAATTTTCTGTCTTGCTAGATTGTTTCTTTCCCAATCCTTTGAACAGAGAGACAGGCTTTGGTTGGCGCTGCTTTTTCTTTTCTATGTCCATTGACTTTTTTGGGTGACCTGTTCCAGTTTCTTTGGCCTCAAGTCTGGGATCTCAGAGGCAGAGAGAAAAACCAGGGAGCTTGCCA